ACACACACACACACACACACACACACACACACACGTATACACACACCACCGACCCCCCAACCCTACACAAATACAAATTATCACAATAATTCTCATCTCTCAAGCTGACAGCTTACAACATTAACATACGTAACATTTTTCCCATGTTCGGCGCTCACTCTTATCAAAACATGGAGTGTCGTCGTGAATGAGCAAAATTCACAGGAAGTTAAAAAATTAAGAATAAACAGAAAAACCTGGAAAACAGACAGAAACGTTTTGCCATAAAACTGGAAACATATTAGTCTCGGCTCTCTTTTCGTGTTTACATTTCAGGCACAAGTGTTTTCCTTTCGCGGATACCCGGAGTTTTTGTTGTTGTTGTTGTTTTTGTTTTTATTGGGGTTTTTTTGGTGTGTTTTTTTTAAATTTAGTTTGGGGGTTGTTGCTTTTTTTTTTTAGGGAAGGGAGAAGGCGGGTTTTTTCTTTCTTTTTCTTTCCCTCTTATTGCTCTAAATCAATTCAAAATGTAAACGTCGAGAGAAGTAACTGGTATGTAGCAATTGGCATTTATCAAGTCTTTATGTGGATAACATCCACCTCCCCCAACCTCTCTCGTCTTTCCTTTGGGTGCAGTTTCCCTTTATATCTTCATAGAGAGAAGAAAAAAAGAGAGGAGTGAGGAAGAAAGAGAAAGAAAAGATAAGACAAAGAAAGAAAAGGATAGAGGGATGGACTGACAGACAGACAGACAGACAGACAGACAGACAGACAGACAGACAGACAGACAGACAGACAGACAGACAGACATCAAGGCAGACAGACAGACAGACAGACAGACAGACAGACAGACAGACAGACACACAGATAGAAAAACAGACAGACAGACAGACAAACAGAAAGACAGAGATAGAAAACAGACAGACAGACCCACAGGGAGACAAACAGACGGAAAGACGGACGGACGGACGGACGGACGGACGGACAAACGGACGGACAGACAGACGGACAGACAGACAGAAAGACAGGGTAAAAATAATACCAAATTATACATGTACATAATATATACGTACAGATATTACATGTACTTGTAAATGTACTTTTTTGTATGTAACCTTCTCTACACTTCGAGTGAAAAAAACCCATGACGAGTTGACGGGTTTTCCTAAACGTTCTCTCGGATCAGAGTTTGTATTTGGGTTGGGGTGTAGGACCAGTGTAGGTAGGGGGG